ATGCCTATGCACAGGACTCTTCTCAACCAATGATCAGCACCTGTTTGGGTCCATGGAATTCAAGGGAGATTGGATTTAGATCACTTGTGATTATGTAGGGATTCTAGACTAATCCCTGGTTTAATTCAAGCCTCCATTTCTGTCACTCTGCCTATATAAATAAATAAGTATTTCTTGGTCTTACATGTACAGGTAGTCCTTCAACTTACACCATGCATTTAGTGACTGTTCAAAGTTAATGAAAAAGTGAGGGCCATTTTTTATACTTCACGACCACTGCAGCTTCATGGTCACTTAATCACAATTTATACCTCAGAAACTTCACATATTTATGATGGTTACAATTTTTTTTACTACTGGTTCTGTGGGCGTGGCGTGGCTTAGTGGGCCTGGCAGGGGAAGGATACTGCAAATCCCCATTCCCTCCTGATCAGCTGGGACTCGGGAGGCAGAGAATAGATGGGGGCGAGGCCAGCCAGAGGTGGTATTTACCAGTTCTCCAAACTACTCAAAATATCCGCTACCGGTTCTCCAGAACTGGTCAGAACCTGCTGAATCCCACCTCCGGTTACAGTGTCCCACAGTCACGTAATCCCCTTTTCTAACCTTGAGACTGTCAGACCTTATTTCGATGGTGGTGTTTTTTTGAAACCCTTGACAGAGATGAGCAAAGTCAAAGGGGAAGCCAAATTAACTTAACAAATGTGTTACTAATTTAACAGCCGCAGCCATTCGCTTAACAACTCTGGCAAACGAAAGGTCGTAAAACGGGGCAAACCTCCCCTTCACAACGACCTCGCTTAGCCATGGAAATTTTGGACACCCCCCCCCCCCCATGGCGGTCGTTAAGTCGATGGTTTCCTTTATACCGTCTGGGTTGTTTTTTTTTTTAAAAAAAAAATCTGATCTCGCCTTTCATTCCGTAAAGTGTTTAGAAGGGCAACGGAGAAAGAAAAAAATCAAAGACATTGAAACGGGGCTAATTGCGTGACCCAACTTGATGGCTCTTGAAATGGTCTGCGTCACCAACCCCCTCGAGAGCCCAGTCTTCCATTTCATAAGTGAAGTGATTTGAGGGGCGGCAGCTATAAAACACGGGTGGAGAACTTCCCCAGAGCGTAGCAGGTTGGAGGCCTTTCCCTCGCGAGGGAGACAATCCTCCTGCATCCCAAAATGAGGTCCTGGCTGTTCACCGTCTTTCTCTGCCTTACCGATAGAGCGCTGGCCAGCATCTTTGGTAAGTAAAGAGATACCTCTTTCTTCGCAGGTGCCTTACCTTTAGAATAAAACTAATGGAAGCCTAGCATTGGAAGGGACCAAAGTGTTCTGATCTAAACTTCCCCATCAGCGCAAGCTGAGTCCTCATCCCGATTAAAGCCCTTTTATTTAATTTACAGCGAATTCCTCTCCAGCAAACTCTTTCCTCTCCCACAGTCTTTCAAGATAGTTCAAGAGCCGAGGTGGCGCAGTGGTTAAATGCAGCACTGCAGGCTACTTCAGCTGACTGCAGTT